CAAGACCCTGTCTCTGAAAAAAAAAAAAAAAAAAAAAAAAAAAAAAAAAAAAAAAAAAAAAAAAGACGAGGGGCTTCTTTTTTGGATAAACCTCTGGTTTCAGGCTGAGCATATCGTAACAATACAGGTACTGAGGGATGTTTGTCTTTTGCCATACCAGATCTAGTGGGTCCATGGCATTCCCAACTAACTGAGACATAGATAAAGAATACTTAGATCAGGCATCCCCAAACTTTTTACACAGGGGGGCCAGTTCACTGTGCCTCAGACTGTTGGAGGGCCGCCACATACTGTGCTCCTCTCACTTACCAGCAATGAAAGAGGTGCCCCTTTCTGAAGTGCAGCGGGGGGGCGGATAAATGGCCTCAGGGGGCCGCATTCGGCCCGCGGGCCGTGGCTTGGGGACGCCTGACTTAGATCTATCCCTGGAAATGCCTCTCCAGCCTACATTTCTGTATCTCCAAATATCATACCTGTGAATAGCTTGAAAGCCTACAGGTTTATGGAAAACATTCACAGATACTGTCATGCTGTGTGAACCATTGGAAGCTACCTCTTTCTAGGAGCAAATTCTGACCCCTGCCAGGTTGAGATAAGTTCTTCTCCTCTGAATTCATTCTCTGCAGTGCTGGGTAGTGGCACTCGGACTAATTGTCAATGATCTTGTCTGAACTGCGGGTTGCTGATGGCAGGGTCTGGTCCAGCCTCCCTTTATATTTATAGTGCCTGGTATCATGTGTCAGCAGAACATTTGCTTAATACCTGCAAAACTCATAGATGGAAGACATGAACAGCTGGATGTATAAATCCACCTGCTGCACACAGAGGTGGTCACATGAACTTCAGCAGGGTGACTGTTGATACCACTATCTGATTTATGCCATACTCTAATTACTAGCAGCAGAAGGTATCCAGAAGGAATTCACAGACATCCATATTTGCATTCCCATTATTCCCTATGCCCACTGCAGTTGGAACAATACACAATAATAAAGGTCAGACACTCAGATGAAGATTATTATTCTGAAGACCATCAAAAATATACTTTATGGCAGACAGGAAAAAAATCCTTAGCCATCTTCTTGCCTGGATTTTTACTCCTGCCTCTATAGAATGTAAATCTTTTGATTCTGAGATTGGAATGATTACATGTTGCTGGAAAGGCTCAGGGCTGCCTTCTGTATTTTTAACAAATGGAGCACAGGCATGTAGCAGCTGAAAGTTCTATCTTTTCGCACAGTGTGCAAGACAGTGGCAATAAATTTTCAAAAGAGTTGTTTACTGAAGTACTCCAGCTAATAAAAAAGGAGTTAAGCTGTTACTGAGAATCTTTCTCCTTCCAACTTGCTGATGTGTCATTCAGCTTTCAAGGTCGTAGAGAGGAGGGGATACCCAGATCTCCTTCCTGAGCCTGGGTGTGAAGCAAATGGCCTTTCTTGGTGTCTCGAAGGATATTACAAAGCAAGAATTCCTTCACCTGGGCACAGGCTGTCAGTTACACCCCAGGTGTGTGCAAGAAAGCAGATGATTTATGTCTGTCTAGCCAACATTCCCATGCACCATTGATTTCACTTCTGTTCCTGGATGGTAAATCTTGGAACAGTGTTTTTGCAAGCGAAATACACTTTTCTCTGTTTTCTGGGTTTGTTTTTGTATGTGGAACCTAATCAACTCTACTCAATGTACAGAGTATACATAAAGATGCTGATATCTCTGATATTGCCCCTATAGGCTGGAAAAATACTGCTTTATAGAGAGATGATAGATAATGAGTTCCATAAATATCTGCATTTTGATAGTAAACACATTAATCCCCTTCTCTCCTACTAAGGAGGATTCCCTTGCATTCAAAGACAAAGGTCACATTCCATAGCTTTAATTGAACCCTGAACTCAGCTTTTCTTTCAGTCCTCATGAACCGGTTTTTATTTCAGGCTCTCTTATTTGCCCATTGTGTCATGTTTATCATTTATTTCTTTATTTCCATCTCACATTTTAATATGCCTGAATTTTGTGATCCTGCCAATCATGTTGATGGATGTCTCTTTCTTCTTTTTTATTTGTTAACTTTTGAACAAGAAAACTACCATCCAAAATTAGAGAATCCAAGTCGAAACTGGACTGGAGCCCAGTGCTGGGCATTTCAATCTATGCAATAACTCTTCATTCTCAGCAAATTCTGTCAGTCACATCCTGTATGACCATGTACCATGCTTGGGAGATTGACTTTTTAAGCTTTCTTATCTATTTTCCTTAACTTTAAATCTAAAAATAAATGGGAGAACAGATGAGAGTGAAATTGCAGTGAAATTGTTCTCATACATAATGTAACTCTCTATTTAGGAACACAAAGACTGTGATTTCATGTTCGTTTTAAGGAATCTAAGCCAGTTTAGGGGAACACAATCTGCTTCTGGGGAAGGAGGTGCAATTTGTCCAGGTGTGAATAAAGTTTCCCCATCATCTGCAGGATGGAAGCTTCACAGTCTTCCCTGTGTGGCCAAGTTCTCTAACATACTGTGGCTCTCTCTCAGCTTCTCCGGGTTCCTCAAGGGCATCTTCTCATAGAAGGAGCCAAACACATGGCTTGGTAGAGATGCTCATATGTAAGCCATCAGCTAGGATGACAGTTCCAGTGCTTCCATCTGAGCAGTAGTCTCTTCTCTTTTCTTTCTGAGATGTAACAGTGAATATTATAGACCAGGTCTAGTGGGCTCTCATTGCATGCCTTCTTATTCCAGTTCCTGTGAGAGGCGGGACGAGCCACTCAGGACTTTTTGTTTTTTTTTTTTTTACTTTCTTGGTAGTGAGATATTAACCACATTTCCTTGTTTTATATTCTTAAAAAAAAAAGTTGGGGAGGGGGACATAATTTGCTACCAAGTACTGCAATAATAAAACATGGTACTAATGATTACCAATAACTTGTTAGATTTGATCTGCCTGTTTTCAGAGAACTGGAGATGCCTGACTTAGGTCTCACCCAAAGTGTGCTGTTTTGTGCTAATTTTCTCTTTCAAAGGAGTAGGGGTTAATAAGGATTAGTAAGGATTGACCTTAAAAGGGAAGTGTTACAGCCATAGATGTGAGCAGTTCACCCAGAAAGAACCAGAGGGTAGGGAGGAGCCCAAGGTATATTAACATTAGCAAAATACAAATGAATTTAGAAAAGCATACATTATTGTTTCCAGGCAAGCTTATTAATGTTTATGAAACCCAGTCCGAAATTTGGAATGTTTTTGCTTATCATGATAAGTTAAGGAAGCCAGAAATACATACAAGAAAAATTAGTTACATATGTATATATTGTCTTCTGAACTTTTACTGGCTGATAAAGATGTGGACCATAGGAGATGACCCCTTCAAAGTAAGAAGAGACTTAGGAGAGAAGTTCTGCAGAGGAATCCCTGCTCTAGAGCAACCGGTACATAAACCACGTCCCTTCCAATAACAAGAGACTTAGGCAGAAGTCTAAACCATATGCAACACAAACCATTCACAGTGCAATTGACATTGCATTCACAAGGCCCTGCCATTCACTTGACTGCTGGGCAGGGCTGCCAGTGCTGGGAAAGCAGATGCAATCTTTCATCCAATAACAGAGATTTGCTGAATTTATGCCACCTGCCAATCACTTTGCAGGTGTCAGGAACACTGTGATATGAATGACGCATCCTGCCTGGTGGTCTAGCAGAAGAAGAGAGCCCATAAGTCTCCTGTGTCGTGGAACACATGCTTTATTAGCATTTGTTAATACAGTTGAATCTCCAGGCTGGATGCAGTGGCTTATACCTGTAATCTCAGCACTTTGGGAGGCCAAGGTGGGAGGATCACCTGAGGTCAGGAGATCAAGACCAGCCTGGCCAACATGGCAAAACCCTATCTTTACTAAAAAATTACAAAAATTAGCTGGGTATGGTGGTGTGCACCTGTAATGCCAACTACTCTGGAGGTTGAGACAGGAGAATCACTTGAACCCAGAAGGCCAGACATAGCGCTAGGGCCTGGAGATTCACCTTTAAGAAGAAGGTAATGCTGTCATTTGTGACAACATGGATGAACCTGTAGGACATTCTGCTAAGTGGTACAAGCTAGACACAGAAAGACAAAATGCTGCAAGATCTCACTTCTATGTGGAATCTAAGAAGAAAGTTGAACTGCTAGAAGCAGAGAGTAGAATGGCAGTTACAAGGGACTGGGGTTAGGGGAGTGAATGGGGAATGGGGAGATGTTGGTCGAAGGATAAAAAGTTTTAGTTAGACAGGAGGAATAGTTTGGGGATGTATTGCATTGCATGGTGACTATAGTAAATTACAATGTATTATATATTTCAAAATTGCTGAGAGAGTAGATGTACTTACTTCAAAGAAATGGCAACTATATGAGAAAGTGAATATTTTAATTAGCTTTATTTAATCATTCCTCAAGATATATGCATGTTACATATATTATTGCCTTGTCCCCAACAAGTATATACTGGAATTATTTGTATATATCAATTTGTATATATCAAATGATACATATATATTTGCATCATTATTTGCATATATCAATTAAAAATTTTAAAAGATAGTCTTTTCTAGTACTCTGTGTGTGTATTAGTGTCTAAATTTTTTTTTGAAAGAAAATAATGTTTTCAGGGTGCTTGAATTCATATTAATCACCAGTTGGAGAAGGAAGAACAGAATTAAACAACAACAACAACAACAAATGCAGGCAATTTTCTATTAAATCTCTTCCTGAGTTGGGACTTTGGGGGATGTCTTAATAACATAATTCTTCACTTCCTGATCCATAGAGGGTTACAATAAGTGACTTCATAGAGACACAATAGAAACTTACCTTTCTTTGAAAGTAGGTATCATATTAGGCAATTATTTGTAGTATTTTGTAAATTTTCAAATAGCCTGCTGTAATAATAGGTGGATCCTAATCAGAAGGGTAGCAGACATACTTACATTGTCCATGGTCTTGTCTTTTTTTTTTTTTTTTTTTTTCAGGAACACTGAGACTCCGTTCCTGCTTGTCTTGTCCTACCTCCACGTGCACACGGCCCTGTTCTCCAGCAAGGAGTTTGCCAGCAAAAGTAAACACGGAGTCTACGGGGATGCTGTTGAGGAAATGGACTGGAGTGTGGGTATGTTTCTCCTCAGTGAGTGCTTAGAAAGCCACTAAGTCTTTTCCTCCTTGTGTCTTCTTTCCTGTGTGTTTCCATCTATGTTCCTGATGCCTTTAGAGAAGGCAATTATATGGGTTTTTTTGAAGGTAACAAAAATGCATTGATCTTGAAAGATAAAGAAAATACAAAAAACGCCTTTACCAGGCTGGGCAACACAGGGGGACCCCGTCTCTACAAACAACAAAAAATATTAACCGGGTGTGGTGGTGCACACCTGTGGTCCCAGCTAATTGGAAGGCTGAGGTGGGAAGACGGTTTGAGCCCAGGAGGTTGAGGCTGCACTGAGCTATGATTACACCACTGCACTCCAGCCTGGGTGACAGAGTGAGACCTTGTCTCTTAAAAAGTGTATGTATCTTTATCCTCTTGTGCATGTCCGCAGTTTCCAGTGGATACATTTCAGGGAAAGTGTAGTCTCTGGGCTGCAGATGGAAGAGATTAATGGAGGAAAAGAGACAAAACTTTAGTCTTTATTATCCCTTATTCTATCAACAATGAAATAGGAACAATGCCTTGTCATTAGGAGTTAGATGTGTGATGTATTTTGGATCCAGAACACCTGTAGCTGACTACAGCCTTATTTGCAAGGCTCTCAGGGCAACAGTGACGAGGTCCTCATGTTCTTCTTGCTGCATCTGAGGACTGCAAAGCTTTCCTTGTTCTCCAAACTCCTTCTCTCCCTTCCTTAGCAAATAACCTTATTTCTGAGAAATGTGGCATTTTTTACTGACATTGGGAAGACTTCCTTACTAAAAATTTCTTTAAGTTAAAAAGCATATCTTCCATATCTACATGACATCTTTCATCCCTACACTTTTATTTTCTCTTGCACAGCTCAGAGATCCCAGGATAAGGGATTACACCTGGGATCTCTTAGCTGTACAAGAGCTAAGGGGTTGACTAACATGCAACCTCATGCTAACTGATGTAGGGAAGGCCTTAGTGAGTTATGCAAAGGAATGGAAAATCAGCATTCCAGTCCACTCCGAACCTCTCACGACTTCCAGTCATTTCTAGCAACATTGCCTCTTACATTGATTTACACTGCTGGACCCATCTGGACAGAATCAGACAGACACAAAAAATCATTTTATCCATATTCCAGCATTTCATATATTTGTTTCCTTTTACTTTTTCTCTCTCTCATTCTTCCCTCCATTTCTTTTGGTGCACTAACTCAGTAGTTTCTAACCTTTCGATCCACATATTTTGGAAATCCATGAACATTGCTACCGACTTGTGTTTGTTCATTTGTTTAAACGAGCAGATTGATGGCAATGGTGGTCACCTACTATGGTGATTGTTGGAACAAATTTTGTTCTGTTTTGTTTTAAATCATGGAAAGAGCACCTTCTTAAGAAACAAGAAGACTGGACTCTTCCAGCTTCTAGATGTTTCTTTAATTACGTCTGTGAACTTGAGAGAGGTTTTACATCTTCAGGCCTCTCCTCTATCATCTTGATAGGAGTATTCAAATTAGGCAAGTTCTGAGGTTCTTTTTTCTCTAATAGTCTGTGATTCTATAAAGTAATGAGAGTGAGTACCATTTATAATACTAACTAGGAAAAACAAAACCAGAACATTCTCTCTAACAAGATTTGTAAGAAGAATGCATCATGCTTAGGGCTCGTACATATACCAATACAAGCTTGTCTCCTTTTATTTTTTTCTTTCTAAAATGTTGCAAATAAATCAATTTGCATTTTTCACATCTAAGTAGTGTAAATCAGTAGAATATTTTATCCCTTTAATGAGTGTTCTATTTTAATGTGTCAGGCTGCTTATACAACTCTAAGACTTCTGTTGGCTAGCAAGCAACCTCACGCTGATCTCATCACACCTATTGATTAAATTTTATGTAATTATCATGGCACAGGTGCCTACTCTGACTCATTAGAAAGTATAACTTCCAGTATTGTCTCACTACTAGTTACCTCTAGAGTATTTGGGGAGTATTTTCAATCTTCAAGATCTGTCTTAGCCCCTGATTTATAGATGATTGTGTTCTTTTGTTTTGTTTTGGTTTTTGGCCAAAAGATAAAACCCTTCCGCTAAGCATTCCATGAATTTTAAGAAAGTTTTTGTTTTTTAAATCTGATACATATGAATGTTCTAAAGAATATTTCTTCTTTCCAAGAAGGGCTTTCCCTTATTGCATAGGAGGGGACTGTTGCATTCCAAATAATTATGTAACAAAATAAAAGAGGGATATTGGCTTAAGAAGAAACACTCCCTGCACAAAGGAAAACTGAAATGGAAGTGGTTAACTAGCTAGGGTGCATCTTGGTCACTCAGGGCATGTTCTCTCCGCATGTTTGAGGGCCGTGTAATTCTATGGATCATCACCTTCTCCACTGGAGGTTTCTCTAAGCCTTGAAAGGCATATTCAATGACTAAGAATTTTTATTATGTAACTGTATACCAATTCTACTGCTCATGATTGTGGCTTACTGCCTTATTCTTAGCTGAATGAGTACCGTGTCTCATATTGTTACAGTAACTAGAGAAAGACTGACTCCATACAGATGTTGTAAGAGCTATAGAACCAGCTTCTCAGTACAACCCTATGCAAGGGTGGTTGAAATCCAGGAGCTATGATACTGCTGTGTGAATTCAAGGGGTGGTTAACATGATTTTAATCATCAGAGTGACTAACACTGAGAGCTGGTCCCATACCAGGCCCTGATAGCACATGTATTTGTGGAAGCCGTAGGCTTTGGCTCCGTAAAGATTGTCAGGAAATCACTGGCATAAGGCAGATTGATTCATAGGACAAAAGGCATACTAATTTATTGAATGTATATACACAAAAGCCTTCATAATGAAGACTCAACCTCTCAATGGGGTCCAGAAGCTTATACACCATCCTGAGGTTACAGAAAGGATGGAGGCTTAGACCAGGCATAGTGACTCACGTCTGTAATCCCAGCACTTTGGGAAGCCAAGGCAGGCAGATCACCTGAGGTCAGAAGCATGGTAAAACACTGTCTCTACTAAAAATAAAAAAAATTAGCAGGGCATGGTGGTGCATGCTATAATCCCACGGAGCCAGGAGGATCGCTTGAACCTGGAAAGCGGAGGTTGCAGTGAGCTGAGATTACACCACTACACTCCATCCAAAAAAAAAAAAAGAATGGGTTCTTGGATCCTGGTAAAACGGGTTATGCAGGTCAGGGAGAAGAGGAATTCTGTTGAGGGGAAATAATTGATTGCTAGGGAGAATTATTAGATACAGGAACAGAGATTAACTTGTAATGTAAATGGTCCTTAGAGATAGTCATCCTTACTTGGAAAAGAATCTCCTCAGGAGTAGTCATATCTTGGTCTTCTTTTCTGCAATAGACAATGAAATTACAGGGAGGGGAAGGAAAAAAGTTCTCCTTGGGGGTCTGGATCTTCGGCAGATAAAAGAACTTCACCTTCTATGGGAGAAACTGTGTGTGGGATGAGGGAAAGGTTAGAAAAACTTGAGGCTTCTTCCATTTAGCATATCAAAATACAACCTTTAGGGATATCAGTTTCTGAGTCTCAACATACTACCTCATTTTGTGCTGCCAGTGGTCTGTGTGAAGCAGGTGAATTTCTCATCATTCCCATTCCACAGGTAAGACAAGTGAGGCTTAAAGGTTAAGTACTCCCACCTCAGGTTACAGAATTCATAATGGACAAGCATGTGTTCAAATGCAGGTGTCCCAGCTAGAACCTGAAATCTACACTGCTTTATTTCTCTTCTTTCTATGTCATAGGAAAGTGTGCATCGTGTCAGCATACAATCAACAACATAACTTTGGGAAAGATCTAGTTCATTCATTAGTCATGTTCACTCGATGCTAACTGTGTGTCTAAATGTTTTTTGGCAGCACAGGGTGGGAGTGGAGTGCAATGATGATAAGGCTATAGGTTTAGGGGAGAATGTTCAGCATACAGGCTACTAAGAAATTTAAGATTCTTCCAGGAGATCCTATGCCAACTCAGGGCAGAAAGTGAGGAATGTCCTGAGGGAGGTACAGATAAAGTGCTTGAGCAGCTTGGAAGCAGGAAGGGCAGGGGTGCTGTGGATGTTGGATACAGCAGCCACATCATTTCAGCAGGACACACCCACAGTAGATTTCCTTGAGCAATCATGGTGCTATTGCAAAGTCTAATTTTCAATCCCAGTTAATTCTGAAGCAACCCAAGCATCATGGAGGAACAAACATGTAAAATCTTATTGTTTTCCAGTATGCAAAAAGCATTTTGGAAATGTGTCATTCTGGATGTTCCTCTTCCTTTGGAAATAGACTGACATTTTTCATAGACCTGTTCATGGTTGGGGGTCAGGTGGAAGGATGGATGTAGTTCTCACCAGGGGTTTCTTATCTACAGCTTACACCATTATCGTGATCACAGCTCATCTGTGAAGTGGAATTTACATGCAATCGGCATTCACTCAAAGCCCCATGCTATTAATGGAACCATGTGAAGGAATCATAAATCAGCCCTTGCTCAGGATTAGACTAGCAAGTTCTATACTATTACAAAGAAAAATGCAAGTGGAGAACAAGGAGGCGAATGCTAAAACAAATCTCTGCTTTCCAATCAAACCTTCCTGACTGGGTGTGGTGGCTCACACCTGTAATCCCAGGCGAATCACCTGAGGTCAGCAGTTTAAGACCAGCCTGGCCAACATGGCGAAACCCCCTGTCTAATAAAAGTACAAAACTTAGCCGGGCGTGATGTCACACACTTGTAATGCCAGCTACTTGGCAGGCTGAGGTGAGATAATCACATGAACACAGGAGGCAGAGGTTGCTGTGAGCTAAGATTGTGCCACTGAGTTCCAGCCGGGGCAAACGAGTGAGATTCTATATCAAAGGAAAAAAAAGAAAAAAACGCCTTTCCACTGCTAAGATTAGAAATCAGCTGATTTTATGAGATTCTCTTTCCAACAAGAATGGCGAGTCTTCGTCTTTAGATGG